GCCAAACTCCAAAAGCGAGCGTCAACTTCACTCCCACACCAATTATTGTGATTTGTGCACCCAACCACTGTGATTAGTCCGTTTAACCCACGCTCCAAGCCCCCACAAGAAACTTCACCCCACCACAACAATAAAAGCATGAGAGAAAAATAAGGAAAACAAAACAAAGCAAAACATTGGCCCAAAAAGAGACGATCTTTAACGGATTTTTAGTTAAAAGATTGGCCAAAATTCGAAAGAACAAATTACATGAAAGCATGACATATCAGCCACATGATCTAAATTAAGTGGGCCCTTTGACGTCGCAGGATCTTCTTTGTTTGATCATGGAGAGAATGGGATATGTATAAGTACATTAAAGGATAGAGATCAGTGTCGGGTGCCAAAGGGTGATTTCCATGGCAGCAATGAAGCTTTTGCTTTTGGGTGATGAGAGAGAGAAAAGATTCTTCTCTTGTGGATATCGAAGGCAACTTTTTTTTTCTCTGCTAGAATCTATCTTCATCCCCCTCTCTCTCTTTCTGCTTTCTATTTGATGTATACTGCTTTTATTTGTTTTTACAATACTTTTTTTTTGGAAAGATTCTCGTTTCTTCTTTAATGGGGAACTTTTATGAATAGGCTTGTTAGGGGGAAAAGGGAATGTTATTTGTTATTTTGTGGTGTTGCTATATGAGTTTGGCTAAGAAGTTTGGTTCTTTTCCTGGAGCAAGTTAGAGGTAGATATTGGTGAACTTTGTATGTTTATCATCAGTAGCTAATTGTTAGAATTCATGATTTATTGATTTTTGGAGCTAAAGTTTTAATTTTTTATGTTTATGGTTTTCAGTCAAAAGATTTGTTTTCCTGAGGTGGGTTGAAATCTTTGGATGGATAGAGCTCTGAATTCTTCTCAAGTCCAGAATAAAAAAACTTGAGTTTTCTGGGTGCTTCAGGAAATTTTCAATTCAATTTCCATCTGGAGAATAAAGTTACGTTATTTGTTGAATTTAAACGTTTTGATGGTGGAAGAACCTGCTTTTTGAGTTAAAAGTTTGTGGCGAATTAAGCACTTTGAAACAATAATGAAAGGAAGAAAAGACGAGGCAAAGGTGATGAGTCCTATGTTTCCTAGGCTTCATGTGAATGATACAAAGAAAGGGGGCCAAAGGCACCTCCAAGGAACAAAATGGCCTCTATGAGCAACTCAGTATCCCTTCCCAAAGGTTCAACGCTGCACCACTTCCACCAAAAATACCAACAGCTTGGTTCCTTCAATATCTTCAAGCCATGTAAGTTTACTATTTTTAATGACCTTATTATGCAAATTTCCTATTTTATGTTGTATGACAAGAAATGGTTCATATTTGTAGGGTGAAGGTAATGAAACTAGTATGCTTATGCCATTTGGATACGCCCATGAATCTTCAATTTCGCCCTCGAAGTTTCATTCTTATTCCATCCATGGGGCTAAAATAAGAACCACCAAAGGAGTTCAAGATAATAAATTCTTGAAAGTTATGAATTACCGTAGTTTGGATACCGTCCCACCAACTCCAGCTGTTCTTGAAAAAATTACATTTCAACCTAGCTATTTCTCTAGCTTTAAGAAAGTTTCTCGAGGAAGCTAGTGATGATGACGACCTTAGGGTTCCTACACCTGCTATGTCTAGAATCAATCGAAATAGCAGTTGCAGTAATCAGGGCGAAAATCAGGAACATTTTCCTAAATCAAACTTAAGCTCTTCAATGCAACCTCAAAATGCTAATGGAATTTCTGTAGATTCGAAGTCTAGAAGATATGTGGGGAACCAAGCTGAGGAGAATGGAAGATTATTTCAAAGCAATCAAGACATCAGGGGAAGATCTAATTCAACCAGAGATAATATCTTAGGTGATGCATCATCTGACCTGCAAGGATTCAAAATCACAGAAACGCCACTTGATTCATGTAATAAAGAAAACAAAAGCAGCTCAGTGGATGTATTGAACAGTGAAGTTCGTGCAAATGCTCGGTTAAACCATGAGTATATTTCAGTGGAGTCTGTCAAATCTCTGGAAAATGCTTCCAAGGTGAGAAATAAGTCATGCTTGCGACAATCACTTGGAATTGATAATGGAAGTCCGAAAACACTTGAAAACATAAGTAAGGCTGTTGAAGAAAATAACACCGGGGCTACGCTAGTTGATGGTGTGAACAGACATGATAATGTCCCAAGTACTTCCATGGAGTCCCTGTCTAATTGGATATACCCCTGATGATATTGTGGGAGTAATAGGTCAGAAAATTTCTGGAAAGTACGAAGAGCTATTGTCAAGTAAGTGTCCCACTTCTGTTGTTAGTATTCGCTATTGAAGAGTTGCTACATCTAATTAACACCAGGAGTGTGTGGTATATATAATATTGTTCCGTTACATATTATGAACATCAGAAGTATGTGCATATAGATTCTGGCTCATGATAAATTACTCTTCGGTCATTCGTTTTGTAAATGGTTGACATATTGCCTTCTATATTTCTTGTAATATTGGTTTACCTTCTGTCTTCTATCTATAACTGCTCTTTCTGCTGCAAAATGTTCAATATATTTTCTGTTTGCATCAGTTTAACTCTTTGCAAAAGCTCCCTATACTTGTTGCTAGCTCCGCTTCTTGATGAGATACTAATTGTTATATAACTGTTTTCAGCCAACAAAGAATATTTGCCGTGCAAATCTTCGAGTGCATAGACATAAAGGTAAATGGATCGGTGTATTATGGACTTGCTAGGTATTTCAGCAAATTATGCGTGTAATCTCAACAAATTTGAACTTTGCATTCATTTGGAACAGGTTCAGAGGTTGATTGCTGGGTCACCATATATTGCTTGAAGATACCTATATATGGGCAAACCATCTTTAAATGCTTCTTCAATCAAGAAGTTCCCATCTAGAATGTTCCTGAATCGGCATTGATTGTTAAAATCCTAAATAATTCTCAAAAATCAAATAATAGGGATTGAATGTGCAGATGAGAAGGCAGTTACTTGGCTTCCCCTTCCTTCCTTGGGGTTATCTCCACCTGAAAGTCAGTGGTTAGTACCTGTAATGTCTCCTTCTGAAGGACTTGTCTACAAGCCGTATGCAGGGCCTTGTCCTCCAACTGCAGGTTTCTTGGCACCGGTTTATGGTGGCTGTGGTCCTCTGAACCAAACTGCAGTTGGTGCAGACTTTTTGAACACAACTTATGGTGTTCCTGCTTCTCACCAACACGGAATTGGGATTCTTCCTGGAAACCGTCCAAGATGTCAGACCTACTTTCCACATTACGGCATGCCAGTTACGAATTCAACAGTTTCGGACTCAACAGTTGAGCAGATTAGCTCGTTCCAATCAAAGGGAAATCAGTTACAACATGTGATGTGAACTTCCCCACAACTCAACAAAGTTCATGCAACATGCCAAGTCAGATGAATCAAGTAGTCCCTCTGAGAAAACTGCCTGCATCTAAAGACAGTGAAATCAGGGAAGTACAGCAAGTAGTCCCCCTGAGAGTCTAAAGGGGATTCACTACTTCCTCTTTTTCCTACCAAACCCACAACTCAGGCATGTACTGACAATGCTCAGACTAGTGGAGAGCAAACACGGGTAATTAAGGTCATACCTCATAGCCGCAGATTAGCAACCAAATCAGCAGCTCAGATCTCCGGTATACAAGAAGAAAGGAAACAATATGATTAGACTTTGTTCTATGATGACATACTTCAATCGGAAATGACTGCATGTGTACTCGTTAAATATTTGTTAGTTTTGTATCTGTATTAATAACATGTACATAGACTACATATGTTTGAAAAGTAATCAACTTTTACTCGATTGCAATAATGCCTGATTCTGTTTTTTTTTATGGTTGCAGCAAATCTTGGTCGTATTAGAAAATCATATATTTCTCTGTAAATATTCAATTATCTAGGATTGTAAGTCTATGATTCAAGAAATTCTGGCTCCGACACCAGAGTTCTTTGAACACCATTTTCGTAGAAGCTGCTTCCATGGTGTTCACATTGATGTAGTATCTCAATTTTGAATTGTTAAGCTGAAACAACTAATAGGAGAAATCCAATTTGAAGAACGCAATTGTTACTCAGACCAAGTGTTCCTTCATTGCCTAAGAACAGTAAAACTTACAAGTACTGAAATCCAACACTTGGACTCATGAAGTCGGGGACTTGGGATTATTGAAAAGGATACTTAGAACAAACTTTGAAGCGTGAAAATCGAGATAATGCATGAATTTTATTAATTTTCAATGACTTTACAAGCATTTGTCAGAGTATCCAGGGCCATAAAAGAATGGGTACCATAGTTCTTCACGTTTCCCATTTGTAAATCATAACATTCAGGTCTTGACATATGGAACAACATTTTCAGCATCTTTTATAGCTCCAGATTCATCCACATACCTAATATTTCTGATAAAACTTGCTTTCGTTAAGCCTTCACTAGGAAAATGACCACTTCCCTTTGAGTAGAGGTGACGGCCTTCTAATCTTGAATTAACATCTCTCCACCCCAATTTATTCCATCGGCTCTGTCGGATAATTTTTGAAGATCAAACCTGGCCAGTATCCTAAATCTATTTCCATTACCCTCAGCCACCAGTTTCCACTGTGCTTATCCTGAAACAACATTTCATTTGGTCATTTTATGCTTGGAGATGATTAATCTGTACTGCAATTGTAAATGAAAAACAACTTTTTGACCTCGAAAACAGGTAATAGCCTTGAAATGTTTGCATACCTTGTGTGTATGCTTATCTCAAATTGCTTGCCTGCATATGTAGAAACAGGTTCTATCTTGCCACCAAGACTCAATTTACTGCTTGTTTGTACAAATCCAGGCATACTACATTAAAGCAACCAGTTTGTTGATAGCCATCGCTCTAAACATTCCACAAACAACAGTATGAAAACATTATGTTAGATATTTGACAAAATGGTTGAGATACAGACAAGAGTCAAGCAAACTACAGTCCAGTATATGGAATAAAAGTGTATGATTCGTGTTCGTGAAAGCCTGCAGTGTGATTATAATATGTTAACAATAACCCATATCAAAGTGATCCAAACCAACGGATATAAATAAGAGATTTTTTCATGGGAGAAAACTTACTTGCCATCCAGCTTCCACAGTCATACATCTCATTTCCCGAGAAAACCCAAATTTGTGCTAAGCTAATCTCGTTATTAAATGTTGCTGGTTTCCATACATTAGCCGAGCACTTGCTCCGAAATAGTTGCCATCAGTGCAGAAACTTGAGCATACTAAATCATGATTTCATTCATAGCAAAGGGCAAAAGAATCATTTTAATCAGATTTAGAAACTTTTTGTTTTTTGTTTTGTTAAGAAACAAATGGAGGAGTGAATTTTGAAAAGCTACCTCGTGATCACTGCCAACATTAACCTCAAGCTGTTTACCACGAGGAAAAAAGGTTGCTTTCCACCCAGGTTTGTGTTGTTGAGATCTAACAATGGGGATTGTTCCTTCTGGACATTCTCCATACTTATGCCAACCTTCAAGGGGATGCTTCCAATGTTTTGCTCCATTCCTTTTGGATATGAACTGGGTTTCATCTGACAGTACAAAACAATTTTATGCTTTCAGTGTTTTCGATCTTCAACGTTTTAGCGTATTATTTTTAAAATATTTTTTTTATTAATATCGGTTAATATAAGATATTATATTTTAAACATAACTTAAGCTTTTTAACATTAAACATTTATATCATAAAATTTATTATAATTAAATTCGAAATTTTAATAAATAACAATAATTCTTTTATCAATAAGGTGTTAATATACAGTGAATTAACACAAAAAAAATCTTAGGTAGATGGTTTTTTATCTGACACGTTGTTAATATTTTATTACATTAAATATGAGCTTAAATTTTAATTTATAATAGGATAATTTTGAAAGGGAAATATTTAAATTTTATTTTTGAAATATGGAATATAAATACAAATATTATATTATTAGAAAAATTGAAGAAAAAGAAATATTAAATATATTTGAAATATTAACTGAGATTATTACACTAGATTATTTATACGAATTTAATATCAATTATAAATTATATAAATTAGTTATAACGGATAACAATACCTATTATATGTAATACTATAATCAACTAAATAATTATATAAAACTAATATTAAATTACTAAAGAATAATTATTTTAAAATATCATACCTAATTAGTTCAATAAATAATTAGTTATATGTATTATATTTATAACGGATAACTAGTAAGAGATTATGATACGTATAATTATCAATATGCACAATATATCATATTAATTTATAAAAAAGAACAGATACACATATAATATACGTGAAATTAAAAAACGATCAAACCTGGATGGTGTGATTCTTGAGTAGAGGATGATGAAAAGCCGGTTTTTATAGATATCAACACAGTCAATTATATCACCATCTTCACTCTGTCAACCAAATAGAAAACTATCAAGAACCATATATGTAAACAACAGCAACCAAAGAGAAAACTATTATATAATAGATTAAGAACTAAACCTGTATTGTTTTTACGGCTCCTTTATGCTCGTTGGTTTTACCATAAGAGAGTGAGCTTCCTTCGACATGAACGTAGCAAGGCAACTCACAAAGCTATGAAAATAAATATGCAGTACCCGAGCTTAGAACCACCATTGATTTTTAAAAAATGAAAGTATTTCACCTTTGCTCAACAAATATCGAAAATTCTCTTCTTTCTTATGTGGGTCTTGGGAGGGATTTAAGGAATCAAACTTCGGGATTTCTATATGGAAAATTAATCTTATTTAGGAGTTAATGATTCTTGTTTTATCCAGGAATGATTATGGTGTCATGGATTTTTTTTTTGGTAAAATATCGAGAAAAAAAATTAAGAAAGATATTGTATTTATTCAATCTGTAAGCGCAAATAATTTTCCTTTTTGGTCCTTTAACGTAATAATATTAAAATTGAAATTAAAGTTTTATATTATATATATATATATTATTAATTAGTGTTCATATATTATATTTCGTATTTAATTAAAATTTATATATAATTTAAATGTTATCCATTATATTAATAGGTGTAAAGTTAGATACAATGATAATTTTAAAAAAGTAGAAAAAAAATTCATAGGTAATACTCCGTTTTCTTAATGTAAAAAGATAGAACAGCTTGAATCCAGGTAAGAAAGATAAATTAAGCAATATGACTGAATAGTGCATAATTTACCACAATTCTCATGCAAAAGTCATACACTTATGTAATTAGTCTAAGGAGACAAACATAAACGACCAAAATGGTTCCTCTCTTAATGTGAAGTTGAAACAAAGCACGGAACTCAGTCAATGGTTCTATTCGACCTGCACATACAGATTTAGTAAGGGAACCATGGCTCTGGATTGAGGAGGTTCCACCATCATCAGATTTAGTTGGTAGTTTAACACTAGCCATACTCAAAGACAAAAAAGAGAGTATTAAATGCAAATAAACAAAACCAGGAACAACGAAAATTATATTAAAAAAGAGATGATTATAGTTGTAAATGAAGAATTAGGAACAATCCATTTTTCCAACTCGAGAGCGAGTCGTGGGAGCCAATGACCTTGACTATATGTTAGCATGATTTGTGGTTGAAAACAACGATAAACCGTCAAAGCTAAAGCCCCGAACATACGTTTGATTTTTCTTCTTTCCTCCCATCTAAATCTGCCATTTGTGTATCAAAGAAAAATATCTGCCGTTTTCTCTACTTCTCCTATAATCCCGAGGTTGACGCACTTGTTCAGCAGTCTTGCAGGCTGCAGCAGCTAACCGCCATTGTTCAAGACATTGAGAGAAAGGTGACTTTTATGGTGGACGTAAGGAAAGAAGCCCAGAAGTTGAAAACACTCTCCACGCTATCCAAGCAGTGTTGATCGATGCAGAGAAGGCAAGTGGAGGAAGAAGCTGTTAAACTTTGGTTGGAAAGCTTAAAGCCACATCTTATGACATGGACGTCTGATTGATGAATGGAACACTTCTATTCTCAAATTTCGAGTTTCAAACAAGGTATGCTTCTGTTTCAGCAAAATTGTTCTTCACCTTGCTGTCAAAATAAAAGATTTAAACAAAAGACTTCAAGTGATTACCGTCGAAAAAGATATGTTCAGCTTTAATTTAAATACAAGCAAAGGAGAATCTGAGCGGCCGGTTATGACCTCATTTATCGAGTGTCTGTGATTTACGGCAGAGACCAAGACAAGAATGCTATAATTCGTATGTTGATGTCTAAAAATTATCAACAGCAAAGCCTTCATATCATCTCTGTGGTTGGAATGGGCGGGATAGGGAAAACTACCCTTGCCCAACTAGCCTATAATGACCAGGAGGTGAAAGCATTCTTTAAGAAACGAATATGGGTGTCTGTCTCTGATCCCTTAGATGAGATTAGAGTTGCCAAAGCGATTCTTGAAGCTTTAACTGGAGTGGCTCCCACTGTAGCTTAATTCGAGACGCTTGCAGAAGATACATCGATTAATTCAGAGGAAGAAGTTTCTTCTCGTTTGGATGAGTGTGGACGGAAGATTGCACAAAGTGGGAATCACTGAAACACTCTCTCAAGTGCGGAGCAACGGGAAGCAAGGCCTTGATCACCACACGGAAGGAAAATGTTGCGAACATCATGGGGAGCACATCCATGTTCCCGTTAGGGCAACTGTACGAGGAGGAATGCTGGTCGTTGTTTGGTCTGGTGAAGATCCAGTAATGATTGCAAAGGTTTAGAGGACATTGGAAGGAAGATAGCTAACAAATGCAAAGGCTTGCCACTCGCTGCTAAGGTTCTTCGGGGACTCTTACGCTTCAAAAAGTCCAAAGAACAATGACAGAGCGTGTTGGACAGTGAGCTATCGGAACTTGAAGAAGTTGAGAAAGGCATTTTCCCTCCCCTGTTATTGAGCTACTACGATTTGTCTTCAACCTTGAGGCAATGCTTTTCGTATTGTGCCTTGTTTCTAAAAGATACCGTGATAGATAAGTTGATCAAGTTGTGGATGGCCCAAGGTTTCTTAAAGGGAATGGTACACAAAGAGATGGAGATCATTGGTCAAGAATGCTTTGACGACTTGGCCATGCGCTCCTTCTTTCAAGACTTTCAAAAAGATGAAAACAACAATAACATCATGAAGTGCAAAATGCATGATATAGTGCATGACTTTGCACAGTTTCTGACCAAAACTGATTTTTTTATGTTGGGAATGGAAGCTGTAAAACAGTCCACCAAGACAGAGTCTTATAATGGAAACTACTTTCGTCATTTGGTTATCGAGCTCGAAAAGGAGAGTCCATTTCCTTCTCGCATTTACAATGTTCGAAAGCTTTGCAGCCTGCTGATCAAGTCATATAACAAAAACAGTTCGATCGGTAGGGCTTTGCCTAAGTTATTTGATCAATTGATATGCATAAGGACTTTGGATTTGAGTTGGTGTTTGACTAAAGAAATACCAAAAGAGATAGGCAATTTGACAAATTTGAGGTACTTGAAGCTCGGCAATAACTATGCTCTACTAGAACTGCCAGAAACCTTGTGCAATTTGTATAATCTACAAATCTTTGACTTCACACGATGTCGAAGTCTTCTAAAACTCCCTTCTGGGATCAGAAAGCTACTGAATTTGAGGCACCTCGATAATTGGGAGACATTTGGGTTGAGATCCATGCCTAAAGGAATGCAAAGACTAACATGCCATCGGACATTAGAGGAGGTAGTTGTGAGCAATGGTTCCGATGGAAATAAAGCATTTACCCTCGGCGATTTGTCTAACTTGAGTTACTTTCGAGGGGATTTAAAGATTCGAGGATTAGGAAATGCAGCAGATGTGACTGGGGAAAAAAAAAGCAAAACTTCGTACCAAGAAGGGCCTTGGTGGTTTGACACTAAACTTTGATTTCAGTACCGGGAGAATGTGTGATGAACATGCCATTCTTGAAGCCTTATAGCCCCCTTGTAAAGTAGAAAGATTAGATTTTTCGATGCTTCAATGGACCCAACTTTTTCCCATGTTGGTTGAACTTATCGGCATTGCCCATGCTGAAGCATGTTACAATTGGCAATATCAGAAACTGAATTCTTTTGCCTCCCTTGGGGGAGCTGCCTTCCTTAGAATCCCTGCAAATATTAAACATGACCAAAGTGAAGAAAGTGGGGCTCGAATTTTTTGAAATTAGCAAAAGAAGAGAGGCAAACAGTATCCCTTTCATCTTCATCACCTATGATTGCCCTCCCCGGTTTGAAATATCTTCGCTTCTCATACATGGAAGAGTGGAAACACTGGATTGATTGTGAAATCCCATCGACAAGAGTTGCACAAATGGAAAATGCTGTCATGCCACGCCTTCAACCCTTAGACCTTGAGAGATGCCACAGGTTAAAGGCTTTGCCACACTTCCTTCTCGGATTGACAAGCCAAAAGGAATTGAGCATTGTTCGTTGCCCTACTCTATCAGAATACTGCAGAAAGTGGCCTTACATATATCGCAGGCCTAACATTAGAATCGATGGTGTTTATGTGCAAAGAAGTAGCCATTGAACTTCTTTATTCAGGATACAATATTTTCCATGTTCCAACTATTGAACTGCTATGACCGAGTCTTAGTTAATTAGGAGTTTGAGGATATACGAGTAGTTTAGGAATTGTATTTAAAAATAAACTATTGACATGGAAAGATTCATTCATTACTGCTTTTGTTTTTGCTCTAATTTCGTGACTTTCTTGAACTGATTTGACTTGCTGTATTACCAAATGAATTGGTTCAGTTATCATATCGTTTAAACATTTTATTGTATGGATGCCAAATGGTTATTTGGTGTGAACTTGAAAGAATGCTGTTTCTAAAGCAGCATTGTTAAATGCCAACCCGATGAGGGTTGTCCAGGATTTTCACATTTCATGTAAATTTGGCTCAGCCGCAAGAAGATATCTAGCAGCCAATGATGCATGAAGTGCAGCACCATAAGGAAGAACATCTTCGTTCAGCGAAAAGTAGGGTGAGTGGACAGATTTGAGCTGCGGCTTGGTCACATCTTGCATTCCAATCATGTAGAAATACCCTGGAATTGCCTCTTGGTAAAATGCAAAATCCTCAGATGCCATCACTGGTTGCATGTCTATAACTTGTCAGCCCCAAGCATATCCCTGCAACTTTCTGGAAGTGCTCATGCAAGTCCTTATGTTTACGGTGGGAGGAAAAGAGGTGGTTCGATTATCGTTTTCAAAGAAATCAACAGTTGCATTGCACCTATACACAGCGGCTTGCCCCTTGATAACCTATCATTTGAATAAATCAGTTATGGGGTGGTAAAACTATAAACAGATGTAATTGGCTCTACCTTCAAAATGCAGGAAAACTTGTAAAATGCAATATATGAACCTATTTCAAAACTTCGGTTACAATATATGAACCTATACACATTGCTTATTAATTCATGAAATGATTCACAAAACAAACAACTTATATACCTCCTGGATTCGCCGCTTAAGTTGCACTAAACTTTCTTTTGAAAATGCTCGGATAGTCCCACCGATTGAAACTGAATCTGGAATGACATTCAAAGCACCACCCCTTGAAATTTTGCCACAGTCACTACCTACAAGGAATGCTTTGTTAAAGGCAGAACCCAGAGTATCAAAAAAGGCAAACATTATGTGAGTGTCTTGAGACTGGGAAAACATGTCAATAGAAGGAAAAGTTCTTTGTAGTAAATATTAAAGGAGATGAAGGATTACATATACAAAAAGCATATCCTGCAGAGTAAAGAAAATCAAATTTTCACTATGTTACAGGTTATAGAAGTAAGTCAGTAGTCAATATTCCACTAGGTTACAAGACATAATGCCATATTTCCGAACAAGAGTACAAAAGATCCAAAGTGAAATTTTCCATGAATGATGTTTCTTTCATAGCCCTTTCATTTTGGGCATAGTGGCTTACTAAAGAAAATTGAAATAGATCAGCGGCCTTTTCTATATTTAAGCTTCTACATAGAGAAACATGACATTTAAATTTGCTTAAAGGAACACCTTAAATACACAAAACCAGCAACCTTTCAAAATGTGATGCAAAGCAATTCTCTTACATTATCTTGATTAGATGACAAATGTGACCGAGGATTGCAAAAATTTAAAGAGGGAATTTGGGCATATAAGAGAGGAACAGTATTTATGGCATAACAATAACTTAGAAAATGGCTTAAAAAGATAATCGAATCATGTGCAAAAGTAGGCACACGATAGAATGAATAAGCTATGGAAGGAAGAAATGTACCTGGGAATCCAATGGATCAGCTTCACGTGAAACAAGATTTGTAAGCTAATAACAACATTAGAGGCTGCCAAAATGGGGTCCGTTGAATTCTGAGGACAGGCTGCATGGCCTCCTTTTCCCCTTATTACCGCATTGAAAGTGCTGCTTCCAGCCATTAGAGGACCTGGCTTTGAGGCCACCACACCGACAGGTCCTTGGGGTATAACATGCAACCCAAAGATTGCATCAACATTCTCTAACACACCTGAATCTAGAACTTTCTTTGCCCCTCCGCCTCCTTCCTCGGCTGGTTGGAAAACAAGAACAACTGTACCCTGATTAAGAGAAAAAACAGCATCAAACATCGATGAATGAAGAACAATAATTCATTAAATAAGCAATGCTATAAAGCACAAAGTCTGGAACTTTATGATCAAATATTGTGAAATTAGCAGAAGAAAACTGATGTGACACCTTTAGCTCTTCAACATTCTCTTTTAGTATTTTGCAGCACCAAGAACCATTGTAACATGAGCATCATGGCCGCGCATGCATCTTCCCGGATTTTTACTCTTGTGCTCCCACTCTACCATTTCCTGCGTGTTTAGCATCCCATTAATAGAAGTCCATAATTGATTACAAAAGCAAATGAAAAGAAAAACATCAGGATGTGCTAAGGTTTGACTTAAATCATGCTGGTTTGCCCATAACAAAATTCATAATAGCATTGTTGTAAGTAATGAGATAATATTCAACAAGCTATAGTCATACAATTACAATCTAGCTAGGAAATGAAATACTAAAGCTCAAATATACACCAACAGAAGTGGAAATGTCAATAAATCTCTAAATTATACAACAATTACGCCTCATATTTGCATATTTTGCTTTTGAGACAAGTCTAACTTTCAAAAACAAGAACTTCGAGATGAATCCTAAAAGATATGAGAAAAAGAAATTATTCAAACCTGCATAGCAAGAGCATCCATATCTGCCCTTATAGCAACAAAAGGAGGTTTTCCAGACCCAACAAAGCCAACAACACCCGTAACTGAAACAGGGTATTTATAAGGAATACCCATTTTATCCAATTCTTGTCTGATCAGCTTACTAGTTTCAAATTCCTCGTATCCCAATTCAGGATTCTCGTGTATCTTTCTCCTAATACCTACCATCCAATCAAAAAGCTCCTTTCTTTTAGCAAAATCAAGAAACTTCTTGGGGAGTTCAGACACTCTACTTGGTGAGGTAAGAGAAGAAGATGGCAAAACAACTGCAGGATTAATCAGATGAAATATCAAAAGAAAAGAGACCAACTTGGGGAAATTCATGCTTATTTTTATTGTTTTCTATGAAAGCAAATTTTATCGTTTTTGGCCAAAGCAAGCTTAAAGTTTTAACAAAGAAGAGACACAGAGTAAACACTACAGGAGTTGGATTGTTGAGAATTTTTAAACTGGGAGAGGATTTTTATTTTTGAAGAAATTTGAAGATTATGTAAAATATAAATTCATTCAACTCTACCGATTTTTTAGGACAATCTGCGTTAGGACAGTAAATGTGATTTTTTTAATAAATAATACTTTTAAGAAATATGAAATGCAAGCAAGTGGGTACGAACCTAGAACTTCTAGCAGCTTCAGTTTTAAGAAATATGAAATGTGACTTTGCTGAAATAGTTATTATTATATTTTGAGGTTTTGAGTATTAAAAATGTGAGGAGTATGAATATTAATGTTAAAAGATTGAGAGTTATATATTTTATTTAAATTTAAATTGATAAAACTAAAATATTGTTAGATCAATTTCTCACTTTCTATATACATTCTATCTGTTCATCTAATTATTTTTACCGTACCAAATATGAGATGATTGAAAATATTTATTAATATAAAATATTAATTTAAAAATCAAAATAAAATTTTTCGAGAAATTAAAATTTTAAGATTTTGAAAAAAATAATATTTAATTTAAAATCAAATCATGTATTAATTCATTGTTGATCATTTTTTAATAAGCATGAACAAATCCATCGTAAAATAATAGTAAAACTAAATATTAAATATTTACTTTAATTTAATTGTAACTCTAACTCTAACGTATGGATAGAAAATCTAACTAAATCAATTTGATTCAATTAATATCTAGTTTTAAATTCGGGATCATGTGAAAATATCTTGCCTAATAACCCTAAACCCAGGCCCATTAGGAATGAACCATCGCGTTGACGCTTTATTTAACCTTTTCTCCCTGGTGGGGCAGCTGTTCTTCGAAGTATTGGCTTGCCCAGGTGAAATATTTCCATCCCACCATGCTTTTATATACCTTGAAAGTTGTGCTACTTCCTGTTTGGTTCCCGAGAAGCCATGTTTAAGAAAGATTCAATATTTAGAGTTGAATTTTTATAAAACCCAGATTAAAAAAACCTTTTATCTGGTTAAGGGAAAAAAAACCCAAGCTTTAAAATCAGTTGTTTTTATGTCTGGTTTAGTAAGGCTGCTGAAATTAGTTGCTATAACCCTTTTTTTCCCCTTCTTTTTGATTGCAACTAGAAAAATAGTTATCTTCGTATTATTCAATCTGAATAGAAAATCATGTAGCTGCAAACCTGGGGCTCTCATTGACATAGCAATTTGATAATTTT